TACTTTTCACGTATCTGTGCCTGTCTGTTCGCCCTCTCCCCTCCCCCTCTCTCTTTCTCTCTCTCTCTCTCTCTCTCTCTCTCTCTCTCCCTCTCCCCCCCCCCCCCACCCCGGTAACTTACCCTCTTTGCCCACACGGGCATGTGCGAGTGCGGCGACACAGCGGCCAGTGACGTCACCACCACTGACAGGAAGGTGACCACAGCCGTTAGGACCAGGACAACAACACTGATGACCACTAGGAGAAGACACAGAGATCATACCCGAAGTGAGTGCGTGGGAGGTTGGCGAGTGCTCTGTGCTGTGGTTTGATACTTCGCTCCTCGTTAGTCAACATCTGTCGTCCTTATCTCTCCTTTTTTTGTTGTTGTTGGTATGTTATGATACTTTCTAGTGGTAACACCTCTTATCTTCTAAACGTAAATAGCGTATACGTGTGGTGCAAGTGCCGTAAAACTTATTTACTAAAACAAGAGGGGAGCTCTCGTGGCCTAGAGGTTACGATGTTGGTGTCTCACTCAAAGGTCCCGGGTTCGAATCCAGGTAGCGACCGAAACATTTTCTACTCTAAGATTTTCTCCTTTCACATACTTTCCTGCTCTTTAGCAATGTTCTGTCGTCTGCTTTCGTCTCCTCTTTCTGCTCCCACCCCTCACCTCCTTTGCCCCCTCCTCTGGGCTCCTGACTCTTTCTGAAGTATTTCTACTGCTACTCCTTGGCTCCTTCTTACTGCTGTCTTTACGCCACACCCCTGATCTTCTGGTAGGAAAGATATACTCCTATCCTTCTCGGACAAAGGCGAAACATCTCGGAGGGCCCGTGTGCAAATTGCGCACGCTAAAGATCCCTTGGTCGTCTAAAATCGATAAGAGTAGGCTTCGGCAGCCATCCGGGCAAAATTCAAAATTTCCTACCAACTGAAACAGTTTAGTGTGTCCCGCGTTCTCATATATGACCTTATGCAGTTGCGAGCACGGTAAAACACTTACCAAAAAAGCAACAACCAACCAAGCACAACAAAACCAAAAACCAAAAGGGGAGCATATGTGCTACATGAAGAAAGTAACTGTTGTTGCAAATGCAGTGAAACCAGAAGGAGCTCGACAAATACATAATTATAATATACAAATACACACAATATATAAATTAATTGTGTGTGTGTGTG